CTCAGTATATGAAATAGGCAGCATTATATGAACAAAATTTATTCAACAAGAAAACAGACCTTTAACATGAATTTAACAAGCCTGAGAAATTATAAACTCTCATATGCTGCAGATTCATGCAGTGATAATAAACAAAAAAGGAAAGTAAGAGGTTTCCTTAAGCTAGCCAAACTGCTAATGGTTTTGTTATAAGCTGTCTGCTGTTGAAATGACCTCTGAAAAGTCTCGAGACACTTGTACTAGGAAGAATTAAATGGTCAGGATGGTGAAAGAGTTGCAGTATGGAAAAGTATTTTTATAATGTGCTGCTGCCATAATCTAAAAAACATCCTACAACCATAGACTTGGACTTTTTTGCCCCTTTCTAGAGAGGGAGTTTTGCAGGGGGGTTGTGAACTGTGTTACTATTTTCATTAATATAGTAAAAGATGCAGGGAGATGATTCAAGTGCAATGTAAACTAACAGTTTAGAACCACTGTAAATCCTGATCATTTAGAAAATCTGTGGAACTCCGAAAAATGTGGTTTTGCTTTGCTTTAATTAATCCTTGGGGGTTCTCTATTCAAATTACTGTGTCTAAAGTTTCCATTGTAAAATAGGATGTGACCATCTTGCTGTCATCTGATTGCATCATGCTGTACTTCAAAATACACAAACATAGAGAAAAGACTTCAGCTCGTACACACCTCCAAATGCTCACCAGGGCTTTTTCCTTGATTCTTACTGTGGCATAATTAACACCTAGTTCACCCATTGCTCATTAGTGCACTGGACATTAATGAGTCTATTTATTTTGATATGATGCTCTAAAGGAGGAACCGATTGCTTCTCACTGTGCAAAAAGCAATTAGAAGACTTCACAGAAATGAAAATGTAGGATATATTAATGTATTTATGCTTTTATTGCGTATTAGATCTAAATTTAGGTTGCAGGTTGTTGAGCATGTTAGTTTCCTTAAGACAGTTGCTATAGTGATCGCAGTGAATTCCTTTAATCTTAGTGTAGTTAAAGTATTTAGTTTTTACTGGTTTTCATAAAGCAAGCAAGAAAAAGAAAAATGTCATTCAATTTATTTTTTGTTTCCTATCTAGATTAGACAGAGAGAGAGCAAGCATTTGTATCCTTATTGTCTCGGTATATAATCACTGTGATTTCAGGATATCCTGTTGTAGTTAAAGTAGTAAGCTAACGATTCAGCAGATATTTTCATTTTCTTTCTCCAAAGTTTCACATGCAGAGTCCTCAAGACTTACTCATGCAGGTAATGCCACCAGAATAATGGAACCTACTTCAAGGAATCAGGGTTGCCAGGCTAGACTCATGTTCAGTGTAGTTGAAATATTTGAGCAGCAAATTGTCTAGGATCTGTTTACCTGGAAGGTATTCAAATGTGACACTGTGGCCACCCTAAAATGTTTGATTTGTTATCAGACTAATATTACAAAGCCTAATAGCTAAACTGTTTTTAGTCTTTCCTTTTAGAAACTTGACTTTAAAAAATTTACATCAAACCAAAGTATTGGAACAACTGGGGAGTCAAAAATGCTGTTTCATTCTTGGATAGGCTCCATAATTTCTAGTGGAGCAGTCTTTTAAACTCCAGTCTAGGAGTGTAGCCATTAGTAAGTTAAATTATGATGATGCACCTTGTGGTTATGGTACCCTGCCAAGTTAATGTATCTTGCTCCTCAGGGTAAATTTTTATTTGCTTGATTTTTCTATCTAGCAGTCTCTGGAGAACTAAATTGTGGGTTTTTTGCTTTGCTTTACTTTTTTATTTATACTCCTTAGTTGTTATGGTTGGGCATTTGCAGGTGTTCACAAATTAGAACATCTGGTTAAAATAGAATTTCAGTAGTTAGAAAATTGATAAGATGTACTTTGTACACACAAAGCTAGCTATAAAATAGCATAGGCTAAAGTAATATTTGCTGAGGAAAACCTTTTTTAATAAATGTTTTAATATTAAAACAGACTGAAGAGATGTGTAGAAACTTTTAGTGGGGTTATTGTTTTACAGATTGATTAAATGTAATCTCTTTTTAAAGTATTTAAATAAATTATGTCCCTTTCATTAAGTGTGTGTGGGTAAATTATTCCAGGTCACATTGGAAAGAAAAATATTGGTTGCATGTTTCTACAAGGTACTTATCACCATGCTGTCTGACTTATATTGGGTCCTTAATACTTTTCCACGTATACTTTGTGTGCTGCTTTAAAATGTGAGATGGGGAAAAATCCTGCCCATCAGTTAAGAGTCAGGGATTGTATGTACATCAAGACATTTCAGTTACTTAATGGAATAAGCGAGTTATAATTTCCCTTTTTTAAAATAGCTGCTTATTTAATGAGCTTCATAACTGTACTTTGTACTGTTCATGCCTAAAGGAAGATATGGACCCCTACCCTTTATATACATGCAGAAGTAAAAAAAATAATAAATTCCTTGATGTGAATAAAAATATCTTCTGTTTTTGTATTTAAGTCTTGGATAATTGCTTCCACCACAGAAATAAACCTAATTTTGTGTAAAGTGCAACGATGGCTTCTTTGACATGCACAACAGGCCAAAACAGTTAGGCTGATTTAGTTTAAGATTTGACAAGCAGTTTTTAAATTTCCATACTGATACCAGCTAATTCATTTCTAATTTCTTTCTGTGCCCTTTAATCTTATTTGCATTGCACCCCCAGACAGGTGAATTTATGGTCAGTAACTTCTGGTCAGTAATAATATTTGTATAAATTAAAGGGAAGTATTGAATTAGTGAGAATAACTTAGTTGCCATATTTCATTTTATTATTCCAGTATGGACAATACTTGTATTCGTGCTTGTTCAAGAAGCAGCAATTTTAAAACACTGGGAGGTTTAACTTCTTAATATGTTAGATGGATGACCATAGTACATAATGCCATGTAGTACTGTTTTAGAGTGGGAAAAAATACCCTAATTGCAATGGAAATTGAGCAGATGTTTTCAATGAAAGTTTTAAAATCCTCTGATGTATTAACCTATGTTAAGAATATGACAGGATTGCAGTCTAAGCATAAGGCCTCAGTGCCTCACATTCATGCAGGCAAATGCCTTAATCTATGTACACCTCTTGACTTCAATAGGGTTTTGATCTTGCACAAGATTTCATGTATCCATGTCTGGCTGTAGGATCAGAACCTAAATAAACAAGTAAGCTTAGCTGTTAGCAACAGAGTGATGGATAGAGGTGATGAGCAGTTTTAGAACATGACTGTAGTGTGTTCTCAGCTGTCTCTCACTGCAACTGGGACCAAAATGATTGTTTTATTTAGGGGTGCACTGATAAAGATTTTGGGGGCCGATACCAATAGCCAATTTTTAAGGAGGCATATCGGCTGATACGATTTCTGATACAGTTGCATGCAGCTGGTAAGTCTGTTGTGGTGGGCAAGGAAGGGGTGTGGGGTTGGTCAGATCAAAGCCCCTGCGGTGAGAGTGGGATAAGGGCTGGGGCAGGCGCTGCCCAGCCAAGGTGGGGTGGGGCGTGGGACGGAACAGTAGCTCATCTGGGGGGGAGTGTGCCCCCAGACATGCGCGGAGGGGGCAGGGTGGGCTGGGGCTGGGGCTACGCTCCCAGCATGTGGGGACTGTGCTTGGGGCATGCAGCAGCAGCGCTAGGAGGGGAGTCTAGTGGGGGGGCTACGGGGAAATTTGGGATGGCTGCAGCTGTCCCATGCACTGGGAGCACAACTCTGAGCACGGCCCCAGAGTCCCAAGCGCAGCCTCCATCTCTGGGAAAAGCTTGGCACAGCCCTGGCCCCAGCCTGTAACTGCAGGCCCCGCCTCCCCTGCAGATCCGGGAGCACATGCCCCTGCCGCATACCCTCCTGGGGTGCATGCAGTGGCAGGAGCTGCCCCCCGTACCGCCTGGACGAGCCACGGCTCCATCCTGCACCCACCCTGCCCTGGCTGGGCAGTGCCTACCCCAGTCCCTGCCCCACTCAACATGGAAGGTGTTGATCTGCGCCCCCCCCCACACGCCCAGTCTCTTCCTCGTCCTGTCCACCACAACAGACTTACCAGCTGCACGCAGCATTCCACGCTGTTGGGCTGCGCTCTTCACCGCCTACATGCTGTGCTGCGGTTGCGCGCATGTATGGGCATTTATCGGCCACATCAGGCCAATTTCCAATACAATCAATTTTCTTTATATCGGTGATCTGATATAAAGAAAGATCTGATATTGCATCAGTGTATCGGTGCACCTCTAGTTTTATTATATGAGGCCACAAAATATTTTGTTTCAAATGTTTCTTGAAAGGATTCAGCAAAGTATAGGAATAAGCTAGATAGAGGCTCTGCTTTTTTGTAATGAAATAACCAGATACTACCTACTATGTACCTTTAATCATAAATGACCTTGGTTTTCTTTTACTCTGTTTCTTAATCCTGAGCATGACACTGACAAGGACTTTTTAATCCATCAGACAGTTTATAGACCTTTTCTTAGTCAGAAGAAGCAAAAAGCATCTGACTAGAAGGGAATACATGGGGCAAGTTCCTTGCTGGCTATAATTTTGTTGTCATTTCAAGTATTGTGGTGGTATAATTGATGTGACAGGACTGGGCTTTAGACACAGTCCCTTAGCTTGTGCTCACTTTCAGTTTTAGTCTCTGTCTGTCATTCATTTTGATTAGATAAGATTTAGGTGACAAACATATGCATGTCTTTGAAGTTTATAGTATGTACAGTAGGAGATTAAATGTGGTATGATAATAAAAAGTATATAAAACTTTACAGTTCCATGAAAAATGTAATAATTGGTGTCACCTTACAATACAAAGTAGATGTGGTGTGCTGATGGCACAGCCAGCAGGAGTTCTTTTTTATTAATATTATAATTAAATGATTTTCTGGAAAAAGGCCAAAAACAGATGTGAGTTGTTCATGCCTTGTCCACTGTTGCTTGGCACCATTGCTTGCATTTTCTAAAAAGAATTGACTTGACATCTTGTTTTTACAGGTTGTTATTGATGCCTTCAGGTTGATCAATGCTAATATGATGGTCTTGGGACATGAACCAAGACAAACAACTTCAAATCTGGGTCACTTAAACAAGCCATCTATCCAGGTAAACTGAGTATTTGATAATATATGTTAAACTGGCATTGTTTAGCAGGATTTGAGCATGTGAGGTTATACTTCAGTTTTCTTACCACACATCTTTGCAGTATTTTGTACACCCATAGAAGAAAAGCTTAATAGATGGACAGTATTATTAATGTAAATTAGAAGTGTGAGATTGAGCCCTAAATTAACCAGATGTGAAAACAGTCTAAATATAGGGGTTTGTGAACATAACCCCATCTTTATTATTTTTGACCTGTTACACGATCGGAGGTCCATTAGTATATTTTTCCAGTACTGGAGTTTTAAAATTCCTACTGCTAACATGGGCCTGAGATTTCCTTAAAAATAAATTATTCTAAAACAAGCATTTTAAAATACCTTTTCTGTCCTGTTTCTGTTTCCTGGGTTCTCTTTCCATTTTCTTTATTCCTACATTTTTTTTGCACCTTAACTAATTTACACTTCCATTTCTGCTTTGTTCTAAACAACAGCAACAAAAAATCTCTAATGTTGTCATTAGGAGCAACATAGATTCAGTGAATCTATTCCCACTTCAATAAGCTATGATTGACCAATTCAAGCAAAGTTCTCTGTTTATATATCTTTGCAGGAGTTTATTAAGTAAAAAGACTAAATTTGTTTTGCAGTTATTTTAATCTGAGGTTTGGTTTTTGTGGTTGACTAGCTGTTGGGGTCAAATTTCTGATTTTCAGTGAAGCAGGCCTTCATTTTTAGGAAGCATCTTCTGTTCTAAAAAAAGAGTATCCTCCTGAATGATTAATGCTTTATCTGTATCGTTCTTGTTCCTCAATGTTTTTACAGTTTTTCCTGCCAGAAAAGTGTATTTTATTTTCAAATGTATTGTATAAGTCATGGATATTTGCAACCATGAAGGCTAATCATGTATCGGAAGATTAATTACATTGAAAATAATAGTAATGTATGTTGCTAAATACAGCATACTGGATAAAGACAATATGGTATATCACCATAAAACTGAAATCATAGACTTCAACTTTTACTGAGACAGCTGTCCTTTGGGAGCTAAGTCACCATTGTTAAACACACTACCTTCAAAACGCCAGTGGTTTTTGCTATTTTAAGTATTAATACATTCCATTAACAAAAACAGAAAAATATTCACGCAAGTAAAATACCTTCTGTTTTGAAAGGTTGAAGTGTTTTGCTATTGATTTTAAGTCAGTGGAAACTGCAAAGTATAATGAGTATGAAATAACCTACTAATGTTTTTGCTTGGATATAGGCAAGCCCATGCTTGCATGTTTCAAGAGAATATATTACTGGGCTTTTTTAGACTTTATGTAATGACCTCTCTTGTAAACCCCCACAGTATCATACTACTTCATTATATTTTACAAAAGGTTAAACAGCGTCTCACAGCATAGCATCGCAGCGTAGCATATTCTGTGTTTTGGCAATAACTTTTATTAATTGCAAGTCTGCAGTGACCGTTCCTATAGTACAGCATTATGCTAAAAATCTTGCTGTTTAAAATTAAGTGTACATATGTCTTAAAACCTTTTCCTTCCCCAGAGAACAAATGAAGGTAGACTTCTATGTTCTAAAGTCCCTGTGTGAAATTCTGGCTTCGCTGAATTTAATGTAGGAACTTCCATTGGCTGATATAAGGCTAAGATTTCAACCCCTATCTTTGTTCACTTTTATTTCAGGGAAACAAAAGACACACTTAAATTGGAAGTACTTGTTCTGTTTTTCTTTGTTGTCATTTTTAACAGAGCTCTTTCACATATAGTTTACCTGTCTAGCTAATTTTTAACCAGTGTTAGAAGAAGCCCTTGTATTGGAACAAAGCAACTAGGTTATTTTTTAAATCAGGTTGTTTTTTAAAATGTAAATAGTTATTGATATTAGAGGTTTCCAGTTAACCTGGTGTAGTGACACTTTAAGATGAGAATGGAATAGTGTCAGTGGTTTTGATTTTGCTTAAGTAACTTTTTTTCTTCAGAAGAGAATGTCCAGCACTGCTTTAGTACTTCTAAAACCTAGAGGAATGTTTCAGAATGTCCTCTTCACTTGTAATGTATTTTGAACTTTGTATACAATTTGTTTTCAATCAGGAAAAGTTTAATGTTTCTGTAACAGTTATAATAGCATTTGAACAACATAGGTAACACACAATTATTGATCCTTGTAAAAAGTAACTTAAAATATTTATCTGTATTGTATAGAAATATATACACAAGAAAGCTATTTAAACTTAATTTATGCATCTATCTTTAGCTTTAATAAGGAACAACTTTGAAATCATTAAATTAAAATCTTTACTTTCATTTTGTATAATATAAATAAAGTATGAGCTTAGGATAGCTCTAAGGAATACAGTTAAATGTGAATAGGTAAAATGATTGAAATCAGAATTTGAAAGATCATAAATACATACCCAGTGTTTACGTGTTAAATGTTTATAATTTCTTACATCTCAAAAATATTCTCCAACAGGCTTGAATTTGTCACATTTGCAAAAAGGCTGCATTTTAATCCAGCACATTCCTTAAGTCATAGATTTGAAAAGTATACCTATAATCTTTTATGACGAAGCAAGAAAAGGGAGCATACATATGCAAAAGTTCCATATAATAAAACTTGTTTGTTTTAAACCAGAATGGTGACAAAGAAAGCTAAGAACTGTACATTCATGGAGCACATGCTGATTAATGGGAAAGGCTTATCTGCATTTAAAGTGAAAAATTTAAAACACACATAGAGTACTAGGGCAGTGTTTCTTACAGTCTGACCCAAGATGAAATGTTAACTACTGCTGTAGCCTCTACCACAATACTACAGCTCAAATGCATAAGGATTAAAAAATATGATTTTGAAATGTCTGGCAGTGGTTCTAGAGAGATGTGGTCAACTTAAAAAATCATGCTTACTATACTTACTCTCATGTAATGCACAGCTTTCCCCTAAACAAACAAACACAAACAAAAAAACCCAACCCTCCAAGATTAGGGTGTGTTTCTTAAGCTGGGAGGCTGACTTCTGCACCAAAATTGAAGCATATGGACACTGTAATGGCTGCATAAGACACTCTAATGGCTGCCATAACTGTCTGACTTTTCCCAACCAAGGAGGGCAGAGAAAGAGTGCAGTCTGCAGTGTCACTTAGGTTTAACTCTCTCAGCCAAAAGCTGCTGCCAACCTAGCAGCAGCTGCGCGAGAATTTAAAAACATAGCTTTACCTCTATAGTGATGGTCAGGATTCATCCACAACTCTGGAAAAGTCTTATTTTTTTTATTTGCCTTCCCAAAACAAGCTGTGGGTCTTGTTTAGTAATGTGTGGTGTGTGACCAAACATGGCATATGTCAGGGGTGGGCCATTATTTCAGGTGGAGGGCCGCTTACTGAGTTTTGGGAAGCCATCAAGGGCCACATGACAGGCAGCTGGGGCAGATAAATGTTAATTTTCTAAATTTTTAGGGGCGCCGCAGACCAGACAGAATGGCCTGGCAGGCCGCATCTGGCCCGCAGGTCACATTTTGCCCATCCCTGGCATATCTGAAATACCTGCACCACCTAAATTTACCATAACTAAAAGGGATAGAAAATAATTTTTTTTCAGTTTGCTTTCTGTATGTATTCATCATCACCATACAGGTGGGTAGTTATTACTATTTTCCTTGATGCTTGCACCTCTTATGCAGCAGCGGATAAAAACCAGAGCAATATAGTTTAGAAATACAAAATATAATTGTAAAACTACAGTATTTGGAATGGAGAATTAGGAATAAGTAGAGTATTTGATTCAATTTATAACTTTAAAAAACCCCTGACTATTTTAAGATAACTGTCACTGTAAAATACGGCTTTTTTGCTAATATTTTTCATACCTGTGATGATAACTTTAGTGTAATGTATTTCTGTAGGCTCTAATTCATGGACTGAACAGGCATTATTACTCCATTACTATCAACTACAGAAAGAATGAATTGGAACAGAAGGTAAGTTTTTTATATTTTTTTTGTTTAGAGTACAAAAAACACTTTACAAACTATTTAAAGTGATGTGTGGCATGTTGCAGTATTGTAGTTTGAATTAGAATTTCTGACATTTTTAGTTGTCATTAGCACTTTTTTTTTCCTGTGTCATGTTATGGATTTATTACAAAACAAATTAACTAGGCTGAACTATCCTGTACTAGGCTACATCTTCAAAAACATCTGTATGCATAACAAGTAATTGTGGTAACAGTAGCTAACAGAAAATGAGTATTTCTTGTATAAATAATTTGATTATATTTTTTTCTAAATATATCTACATTTGTCATATTTCAAAGTTGCATTTAATCCTGAAACATCTTTGATCCTTGATCAACCTGAGCAGGTTCATCAGAAGTTTCAAGCTGTGCATGGCAATGTTGGTACATATTAAACCCACCTTTACTTTGGAGGAGTAGAATTCATAGGAACAGTCAAAGCTACAAAATAGAGGCTTAAGCACGCCCAGTACACAAGGTGGTTTTGTTTGGTCTGAATAGTACTGCTCAAGCCTTCACTAAATGCTTAGAAACTTGGCAGCCTACTTAATTATTTTACTCTTGGAAAAGTGGTATAAGAGATTTCATGTGCATTTAGTGTCAGGGACTTCCATATCAAAATTGCTCTTTTTACAAGTAAAATGAGCTTTGTCTAATTTCCAATTTAACAAATTTAGTCCTGAATCTGAAAATCAAAGTGCATTCTTCCAGGCTATTCATAATTCATAGAAGTCAAGATTCTGAAGGCCAGACTGCCTTCTGATATACCTGGATATGCTTTTGCTTTTGTTAGCTTGTATAAATTTAAACAATGATAGAAATTTACCCACAATTGGAATTTAATACGCATGAGTTGAAATAGAGTCCAGCTTCTCATATTAATCCCTCAGGGCCATCAGTAGTAATAAGTAATTTCTTTCACTATAAGTGTCTGTCTGTCTGTCTGTCTGTACATAGAGGCTGTCAAATAATTTTAAAAATTGATCACAGTTAGTTCTGTGATTAAAAAAATTAGTCGCTTTTAATTGCACAGCTAAAAACTCAAAATTATGTGCAGAAAAACTCAGCTGTGCAAAATTATGCAAGTACTTTGTATAGTTGGGGGTTGGGTGAAGGTGTTGGGGGCTGTGTGTGTGTGGGGATGGAGCCAGGGGAGGGGGGTTCCCATGCAGGATGTGGGGTACTGTGGGTCAGGAGTGAGGGGCATTAGCAGGGCTGGGGGAGGACAGTGTCTTGGGAGTAAGACAGACAGATGCACTCTTTCTCTTTCTCTCTCTCTCTCTTTCTGCCCAGCAGGGAAGGGGCAGGGGGTCAGATCGAGGCCCCCATGATGAGGGAGGGAGTGGGATAGAAGCGGGCAGGCTGGGGTGAATGGGGCCCTGGGCT